CTCTCTCTCTCTCTCTCTCTCTCTCTCTCTCTCTCTCTCTCTCTCTCTCTCTCTCTCTTGCGCGCGCGCGCGCGCACGTATCCAGATGGAAGTGGAAGACGGAAGTGGAAGACCAAAGTGGAAGACCAAAGTGGAAGACTGAGCGGTGGAGGATGGAGGAGGTCTGGAGGAGAGAAGAAGAAGAAGCAGAGTCCTCCCTCTCTCTCTCTCTTCTGGTACCAGATACTGACCGTGTAAAGGTATTGCCTTGGCGTTGGTACTGGAGTGCCGAAGACGAAGCTGGAGCTATGGCGCCCCAGGTGAGTCATCAGGTAAGTCCCGGTGTCTGGCCTCTGTCTCTCTCCTGCTGCAGTCTCCACTACAGCCTCCACGCTCGCTACCTCCAACCTACCGCTACTGCGCCCAGCACTAAAGACTAGCACAGCATAACGCTGAGTACTAACTCACACTAACCTACCGAGTGGGAGGCAGACCAGTCTATAAATACTACTGGTCTGGCCACTCCTAGGTCCTACTGGCCTAAACGTGAGGCCCAGAATGAATGGCCTGGGAAACAATCTGCCCATACACTTGGATCAAATCTGACGGTCCAAGTGTGGCCTGGGAAACAAAGGAGTCCAGGGCCTGAACCGTTACCGGTACCAGGGCCTGGCCAGGCCGAACCTGGTGTGGGCCTAAAACGGCCCTCTTTCTCGCCTGAACCGACACAAGCCCTCCTTCGGGCCACAAAACTAATGTGCCAGAGCGAAGCTAAGTCCCTACCCCTTCCTACCTACCTGACGGGTCCTACTGGGCGCGTGTGGGATCTTCATATGCCACAGTGGCTGATGGCAGGAGCAGCAGCTCTAAGCTTGGCAGCTGAAGGAGGGGTTTCGGTGCAGCCATAGCCTCTATACCTCACGGTTTTGAGTGCCGTTTGTTGCAAGCTGCTTAGTGCACCCTGGCACCCAATACAAGATAGGTGTAAAGATCTCTACCAATTGTCATTTTCAAGATTTTCTCTCCAGTTCAGTTTGTTTTGAGTTCAGTTTGTAAAGATCTCTACCAATTGTCATTTTCAAGATTTCAAAGATCTCTACCCTGGCACCCAACAACAAGTCACTGTCATCCAAACTCCACCGAATCCCTTTTCTAGGGGGACTGCCAGCAGCCAAATCTCAGTTTTTCTAGGAGGGAATCGCAGAGAGCCCAAGCATCAGATAATGCTGTCAGAACCCACTGGAAAATGAAAGGTGTGATCTTGAAAAAAAGGAAGGTTAATGGTCTACGGAATGTCCTAGTGGAAGAGGATAAAATGAACAATATCCAGGTGGACCTGAGAGAAATGGAAATATAGAAACCAAACATTATCATGCTCCAAGAAACCCACCTATCTGCTTGGCTGGACGAATACAGAATTCAAACAGAGATCGAGAAAAGACTGTGATGAATCTACAGCCTGTACCCTGCTGTAAGGCATCTGGAAGGGGTGAAGGAGCACGAAAAGGAGGAGGAGGAGGAGGAAGAAGACGACAACAATGATGATGACGACGATGACGACGACGACGACGACGACGACGACGACGAAGAAGAAGAAGAAGAAGAAGAAGAAGAAGAAGAAGAAGAAGAAGAGGAGGAAGAAGGAGGAGGAGGAGGAGGAGGAGGAGGAGGAGGAGGAGGAGGTAGAGGAGGAGGAGGAAAAGAAGGAGATACCTTGAGATTGAATGCAACGCTGTTGCAGGAATTCATATGGCCATAGAATGTCTGAACACAAAGGCCTGCACGTGCATCCCAGACTGAAACTGTTTTGTCGCTTGATCCCGTGCAGATGTTGTTCGTATATGGTTGCCACACTACTTCATTGACTGAGTCAACGTGCCCACGAAATGCCTGTCGACACCGGATGCTACACACAGAAGTTCAGGACAGAGCAGTCAGTTGTCTTCACTGGGGTGGGTTGAGGAGCAGGTCCAGGTCAGGTGTTGTTTGAATATGGTTGCAAGTTGCAACACTACTTTATTGACCAAGTCAACATGTCCACGGAATGCCTGTCGAGGTTAAACAGAACCTAAGATAGTAAGCTTCCGAAAAAGTAGTCAGTTGTCTTCACCGTCGTGTATTGGGTAGCAGTGCCAGGTCCTCCAAGGCACTGCTATATTCTTTGTGGCAAGTTTGTCCTTAGCAAGCCCAAGACTTACACAAAGAGTGTGGCAACCATCTTCTCTGGTGGACTTATGGCCAAGGCTTCTTTCTATTCTGGCAAGCACGACGGTGTCGTCTACAAGATGTACTCTTTGTGTCATATAGTGGCTACTGTCTTCCCCTGAACACAGCGCATCCTCATCATGAATGGCCCCTCGTCATGGCTACCGGGTTCTTTCCCGCCCGTTACAGGGCGCGTTGCTTAGTGCATCTTCTTTGTGAATTGGATTATGCAAAAGGGCCAGGCCTCACAGGTCCTATGTTCATGCAAGGAAGGCACCAACATGGCCTCTATCACCACTTCCTGCATTCTCAGCACAAACATAGCAAGCACCAGTAGGGTCTTCTTCTGGTACCTTTGTAAACAGATGAGCGTCGGAATTGAATGCCTTCTTAGGCACCAATGATGCTAACTTAAAGTTGACGGTCGAAGGACATTTCCCCCAATTTTTGTTTTTCATCTTTCAAAATCCCCCCAATTTGACAAACAGCACCTGCCACTGGTGGTGAAACGGGGAACTGGATCCTACACAACTCTCTCGCTCACTCATCATAGCCAAGCCACGTGATTGCTATGGTGCCAGCAGGTCCCTGAGTGGCCACAGATGAGACCTCAACAACAGGGACCCAAGAGGGGATCACAATCACTTGTCAAAAAAACAGAATGAACAAAAGAAAAGACACAATTGGAAGGGTATGGTACCGCGGAAGCTGTGGATATATCTTCCTTAAGTATTCATGGACAAACTCGAGGGTTGGAAAAGAACGCAACAGAAAGACTACCAGGGATGGGCTTAGGGTAAGTGGGGTATATTCTAGATAATGTCATGAGGCCAGTGTAAGTGGGGTATATCAAGCTGCAATTATCTTCTTTGACTTTGAGAAAGAGTACAACCGATCTAACAGAGGACTGACTTTTCAAATAGATCTCCTGAATGATGTAAACGAGGAGGGAAAAAAAAAAAAAAAAAGGAATTATAAAAAGGGAAAAAAAAAGTAGTAATCAATGCTGTAGTCAGGCTCCCTTGGCCATAACAGAGAGAAGCAAAAGAATGGGTATGCTGTTTTTCTTCTTGTTTTTTTGTGACCTCCCGACAGAACGAGAAGTGGACTGACGCTCTCCAGAATGGAGCGAAGCCAGGACCACCACCATTTTAGGTAAGAGGGCCTCCTTTTTCCCATGGCTGTGAATACAATAGGCCCAGACTTTGCCCCTCCGAACTTGTCTAACTGCTCAAGACCAGGATGGTACCTGGTCTTGCTAGGCTTGACAGAGGTAGTGGGAGTTGAAGACTCCATGCGTGTCACCTGTTCCACGCGCCCTACCCTCCCACTTTCCCAGATGGGCCCAACGGAGGGTGTTACATTGCACCCACTTTTGGTCTAACTATGTAGAGAAGAAAGGGGGG